TTATATTCGGTCCCATATATCTGATGTATCGTGAGGAATATGAGAGTCGCAAATCTATAATTTCACTTATGACGTCACTGTGACGTCATTTCAAATGGAATCGACACCAAATTTGGACACAACGTTAACTAGGTATTCAGGGAGATGTGTGCAAAGTTTCGCTTTTCTATCTTTTCGCGTTGCGACGATATCGTCGCAGAAGTAAAAGGGGGCAACTAGGTATATGCCCCCCCCCTGCAGCGGCCGGCGGGTGGCGCGGAGGCCCAGCGGCCGACGGGTTAAAGATTTTGGCAATGATACTAAAACCTCGATTGCTCAAAATTTTAGACCGATTCGTTTTTAACTTCGTAACAATAAATTCCAATCAATACCCAATACAGGTATTCAAAATATAGCGCGCCTGCGGCACGCTCTTTTTTTTACCACAGGACGGCGAAAAATGGGGGCGTTTAACGCCCCCCCCCCCCCAGCAGCTCGGGGGTTATGTATAAGACTGTGCATGTTTGGATTGGACTCCTCCCGAATCCTGAATCCAAGACACGAGTCCCTGGTGGCAGAACTGCCACCAGGGTGCACCAAGGTCTGCCACCAGGTGGTAGAACTTGAACTTTCAAGACAGTTTCATATGTTTGGGGTCGAAGTTCGTACGCCGGCTCTCTTCTTCGCTGGATGATTTGCGACTTAAAGGGACCCTCCTACCTTCAAAAAAGTTTATGAATTGGCATGAAAGTGATGTCGCTCGGTTCAGAAAGAGCGAAAACGAATATCTACCAAATTTCACCGAAAAAAATTCACCGATTTTCACGATATTAGACTTTTACTTTTGTTTACTTTTTGGGATCTCCGCTGTTCCTAGCGACTTTATTTGGAGGCAATAGTTTGGCAGCTGAAAGTGCGGCACTTGTTGCGCGCAAAGCAGCATATACCACTGCGTGCTACAAAACGTTTTAGTCAAACATTTAAAAATCGTTAGATATCTGCGCTGACGTCACACATTCAGAGGGGTATTCCTATGCATTAGCCCCTCTGAATCAAAATGCTGCAATTTTGAAATTCAATATTTCCGATTTAACCCGGCAGTTGCTGGGGTATTTCGCCACCCACCGTTTGCTGGGGGGGGGGGGCGTTAAACGCCCCCAGCCGATAACTCGAGAACCAATAGGCGCAGCGAAACGCACGAGGCGGCAAACGAAAGAGCGCGACGAGACGCTTCAGATGAGTACTTTAAAGTTGAGTTTTGAGGTCACAGGTCGGGTCAAGGTCAGGTCAAACACCTGAAATCGGCCTTTCAGTAGCATGGACTTCAGGACTTCGCAATGGGCGCCTCTCGTCATAAACTCTGTCAAAATGGTGCACAATCCATCGTATAAGGCCTACAAGAGTGTCAGCTCCATGTGGGGGTCAGTCAAGCATATGTCAGGGTCAAGGTCAGGTCAACCGGGTAGGCACATATCCCCGAAAATCAAAACTGATATTCGCAGCCCGTGACACATGTTTTATGGGTAATTTGGGGCGTAGAACACGATGGTGACATTCATTTTATCATATGTGTACGTGTTTGGCTAAAAAAGTTTAATTTAAGAAATGCATGTATCATAGTCGTGAAGTAGTCACGAGAAATTGTCAAGATTCAGTTCAAGATTTTGGAAAATGCGGAACGATAATCAATAATCGAAGATAGCCATTTGATTGTTCATGGTATTGGCAGTCCAAAGGCGTTTACGGCATGTCTGTATGTCTATTCTGTGATTTTATATGATTTTTTGAACATACGCCGTTTTTGGTCGAAAATTCAAAAATCATGACGTCACTAAAACCTCGATATCTCAAAAAATTTTCGACCGATTTTTTTGAAACTCTGTCACAATAAACTTCACTCAATTCCCTACAGGTACCCAAAATTTGGCGCGCCTGCGGCGCGCCGTTTTTATGCTATGGCCCGGCGAAAAAAGTGGGGGCGTTTAACGCCCCCCCCCTAGCAACTCGCGGGTTAAGGCATTTCTCGATGTTGTGACTGCCGAAACCGGTAATTGTGAGCCAGGGACCCCATTTTGGCTATCTCAACTCAAATCAAATGTTAACCCGCGAGTTGCTGGGGGGGCGTTAAACGCCCCCACTTTTTTCGCCGGGCCATAGCATAAAAACGGCGCGCCGCAGGCGCGCCAAATTTTGGATACCTGTAGGGAATTGATTGAAGTTTATTGTGACAAAGTTTCAAAAAAATCAGTCGGACAATTTTTGAGATATCGAGGTTTTAGTGACGTCATGATTTCTGAGTTTTCGACCAAAAACGGCATATGTTCAAAAAATCATATAAAATCACAGAATAGACATACAGACATGCCGTAAACGCCATTAGACTGCCAATACCATGATCAATCAAATGACTATCTTCGATTATTGATTATTGTTCCGCATTTTCCAAAATCTTGAACTGAATCTTGGCAATTTTTCGTGACTACTTCACGACCATGGTACATGAATTTCTTAAATTGAAGTTTTTGAGCCAAACACGTACACATATGATAAAATGAATGTCACCATCGTGTTCTACGCCCCCAATTACCTATAAAACATGTGTCACAGGCTGCGAATATCAGTTTTGATTTTCGGGGATATGTGCCTACCCGGTTGACCTGACCTTGACCCTGACCTATGCTTGACTGACCCCTATATGGAGCTGACACTCTTGTAGGCCTTATAGGGTGGATTGTGCACCGTTTTGACAGAGTTTATGGCGAGAGGCGCCCATTGCGAAGTCCTGAAGTCCATGCTACTGAAAGCCCGATTTCAGGTGTTTGACCTGACCTTGACCCGACCTGTGACCTCAAAATTCAACTTTAAAGTACTCATCTGAAGCGTCTCGTCGCGCTCTTTAGTTTGCCGCCTCGTGCGTTTCGCTGCGCCTATTGGTTCTCGAGTTATCGGCTGGGGGCGTTTAACGCCCCCCCCCCCCCCCCAGCAAACGGTGGGTGGCGAAATACCCCAGCAACTGCCGGGTTAAGGTGGGAGGGTCCCTTTAACACGCGCAGTGGAATGGGGGGGGGCGGATTTCGCCCACCCCTCCTGTTTTTTCGCCAATAACTTGCGCCGCAAGCATAATATCAATGTGAAATTTCGGCTACCTGTCCAGAATTGAATTGTGGATCTTCTCGTGCAAGAAGTAAGAAAATCGGTTCACAACTTTTCTAGTAATAGCGGTGTAAAGTCAAACATCCTGCCGCCGCGGCGGCGCCGCGGCGCGGCGGCCGTCGCTAGCCGTTACGCGCCGCCTGAATTGTAGACTGTGCCGGGGCGGGACAGTTCCGTCTTTACATCGCACTCCTTACCGCTGATTATATTAGATTCACGTCAAATTCGGTGAGAAGACTGAGAAATGTACAGGCAATCATATGGTCAAAGAATTTTGAAAATTGGCCGGTAACAACTTGAGTTATGAGTGTGTAAACACAAAAATGTGATTGCCGCGTTTCCCGCGTCGGCCGATGCCGCTTCAGCCGGCGACATCTTACCCTTAGCAGGCTTCTAACTGCCATATTTATTCTTGGATTATCTAGAAATTCACCATAAATACTCACAAATGTTTGTTCTTTCGTATAGTGAAAGATTTAAAAGAATCGACCGGTAACTTTTTGAGTTATCGGCGTGTAAACGCAAAAAAGTCGCTAATATGGCAGATTTGACCACATTTGACCTCATTTGACCTTGAAGATATTGACCTAGGGTCATGAAATTCACACACAACAAAGTTCCCCATGGCCCCCACCTACCCTCCAAATTTCGTTTTTTTTTAGCTCCAGTGTAAGCTGAGATCTTAGGGGGGGGGGGCGACATCCGCCCCCCCCCTTCCACTGGGCGTAGTACTCGCAACCCTTCCGCACTGCGCGTGTTAAATATAAAAGCAATGCGGCCATAAATTACGAAGTGCTTTCAGCCGGGCACATTGGCTGCTAGGTTGATATGGAGCAGATTATTCGTTTAGATGCCATAAACGTGAACTCCTGGCCTACACCCTAGCTAGACAATACAATACACAATTATCTTACTAGCATACTAGGTTATATCTAGCTTAGCTACACAGCTTTCAGCTTTGCTCTTTTTAGTTTTTAGCATTGGTATTTACATTTAACAGCTTATCTCTACCAACAGAAAGGGTGGACAGATCTACGCTCTCCGCACTTCCAACTTGCACAGGATGACGTAGGACTGGTCCAACTGACTTAGGACCGATGTTCAACTGACATAGGACCGGTCCAGCTGACATAGGACTGATGTCCAACGACAACTGACATGGACCGATGTCCAACTGACATGGGACCGGTCCAACTAGGAGCGATGTCCAACTGACATACATAGGAGCGATGTCCGAAAATGACATAGGACCGATGTCCAACTGACATATGAGCGATGTCCAACTGACATAGGACTGGTCCAACTGACATATGAGCGATGTCCAACTGACATAGGACCGGTCCAACTGACATAGGACCGGTCCAACTGACATAGGAACGATGTCCAACTGACATAGGAGCGATGTCCAACTGACTTAGGACCGGTCCAACTGACATAGGACCGGTCCAACTGACATAGGAACGATGTCCAACTGACATAGGAGCGATGTCCAACTGACATAGGACTGGTCCAACTGACATAGGACCGATGTCCAACTGACATAGGAGCGATGTCCAACTGACATAGGACCGATGTCCAATTGACATAGGAGCGATGTCCAACTGACATAGGAGCGGTCCAACTGACATAGGAGCGATGTCCGAAAATGACGACACCACACCATCATACCCTAACTCAGAAAATGAGCACTATCGAGCCGACATCCTCCAGTTCATTGACCTCGGTAATTCACCAGGCAGTGCACGCGTCTGACTCATCCTCGCCCCGCGGCGGCCGGCCGTGTGACGTCACCGGGTACGTCACCGCGCGGTGATGACGTCACCGATCGGCCTGCCGCGCGCTATATCAGCGCCGAACACGATCGGTAGGTGGTCACTGTCTTTCAGAAGTCTTGGGTGCCGTGTGTGCGGGCGGCTGTGGTGCGGCGCCGGTTGAGCTTCAAATCAGAACCGGGATCGGTTTATAGTGGATTTTTCAGTCGGAACTACAAGATTTGGCGGCGTGCCAAGAGACTTACTTAGCGGCTTATCAAGAAGTACAGCACGAGCTAGTCAGGTGAGCAGCGCAGAAATTCCCCCGAGATTCTGACTGAAACCAGGGCTGAAACGAATGGAACTTGCGGCATGATTTGAACCAAAATTAGATATTGCAAAAGAGCAATCAGTTTTCAAAATATCTGTTGAGCTGTGATAAGATGACTCAATGCGATGCATATTTAATAAGCGCAACTTTACTGGTTTCTTCACCTCTACCATGCAGGGCAATATACAGCTGAAACCTAATTGCAAAGGGACTTTTTATCCCCAGAGGTGTCCTTTGCCTGCTCTTGGCACTAACAAATTGTCCGATTATTGTAAATGCAGCTGCTCCTTGAAACCGTCAAGATCATTACCTTGTCTCACTTGTGGCGACCGTTAGTGAGTCTGGGTGGTCTCTCCATTATCACAGGTTCAGCCCCAGCGGAGCATTGGTGGTGGTAGCGCAGTCCCATGTTTTCCCTAAGCCCTAAGGTGATTAATACCAGGTGGCGTCACGACGGCTCGAGACACTTTCTAAAAACATTGGATGCTCATTGCTCAACCTTGGTTACGGAGCGAGCGAAGCGAGCGTAGTCTTTCCTTAGATTAACGGAAATTTCTGAGTATTAGCGGCCGGCCGTGCGGACGCTTTTGCGAGGCTTATATCTCAGCAACCACTTGACCGATTTACACGGGGTAATTTTTTGTAGGGTAGCTTCATTCCTTCTACTAAGTATTGGACTATTCCCGATGCATGTGGGTGACCCCTTATGCACGTGCCACGCGCAAAACGAAGAGGTGTCAGTTTTGTAATTGTTGCAATATCTCGGTAACTACTTGGCCGATTGCGCTGAAAGTTGGCATGTAGGTAGGCACCCACTAGGCACTGCATATCCATGTGCCAGAGTTGGGGTGCTGCTGCACCTGCGCACGTGCAGGGGGCGTTTCCAGATCTCGAGAACGGCTGGACCGATGGCGCTCAAATTTGGTACACGGTTAGGGACCAGTTAGTAGGGTGCCGTGCACAAGTCAGTTGGGACCCATTCTGCACGTGCGCACGTGCAGGGTGCCGCTTCCAGATCTCGAGAACGGCTGGGCCGATTGTGCTCAAATTTGGCACATCGCTAGAGACCGGTTAGTAGGGTGCCGTGCACAAGTCAGTTGGAGGTACCCCCTCGAAATTTCGCACGTGCAAGGCTCACCCTCTCGCTCGCTCCGTTAGTCGCCCCAAAAGGCGCTATACTGGTAAAGAGTGGTGATAGTTGACAGTTGTTACTTTAGTCGTGAAGCTAATATGCTTGTTCTTGCATGAGTATAGGCTACTTCAAGTGAATGAAGCCGAGCAGTATCCCGTGAGAATCAATGACTAGTTGTTGGGATTGAGCCTTTTATGATCAGGCCACGTAGTCTCGACAAGCATTTTATATTAATTTGATTTATTATAATGCCAATTGCATTCAAATTTCTAAAAGAAGGATATTTTGAATCATGTAAGTCTGATGCTACGCTCAGTTTCTATTCATAAAAATGAAACAAGTTGCATTGAATTCATTGTTATTTACCATTAACACTCAGTAGGATACCGGCCCTTGAAAGTAAAAACGCTAGACTTTTACCACACAAAATGAAGGAGGCCAAAAAAATCCTCTCATGCAGCGGTAGCGGTCAGATTTCAGCCATTGATATGACCTTACCTAACTAAAACGTAACCATGCTGGATATACCTTCTCACATGGGTATCGCCCCGAGCAGGAAAGTTTGAGGAAAATGAGCTGGTCACGCTGACCACAATTCATGTACACAAGAGAGCTACCGCCTACCGGTAGATTGTATGCTCTACCTGTGAAGTGAGTGATTGCCTTCAATTTTGTTTCACGGATTTAGAAGGGGAATATCAGCAAAACGCTTCTGAGGTCAAAAACGAACTGCAGGAACCAGCCAATGTTCGTACTGAGGAAGGGTGTGATAATGTACTTCGTCCTGTGGCCTCATGGACCCAAACTTATAAAGTCCTAATATACTATTCTATTCATAGAGTTTGGTAGCTATTGCAATAATTGCATATTGATAACCGTACTAAGTGCAACGATTCCTGGGACCGTCAGCATATAAAAGGCTTTGATGTCAAAACACACACATACCTGCATACATACATATACGTAAAAATGGATTTAGGATTTATTGTTGTTTTTTATGTGTGATCTGCAGAGAGTGCTCTGAAATTCTTTTCATAGAATTTACAGATTTCGCAGTGTTTGGAGGATTCTTTAGAGCTAATAGCGATAAATAAGCTCACACGCCGCTTTTTAGCGCGGACTTTGAAAAAAAAATGATATGCAATGTGCACGGCTCTCACTTTTCGCCCAAAGAATTTACTTGCTTTGTTAGGTGACCATTTCAGTCGGACGATACCTTTTTTAGATACGTGAGGATGACAGGAATTGGGGGGGGGGGAGAAATTGTTCTGGGCAGCCCCGACAGTGGACCGCCAGTCCCAAACCCACCACCTGGAGCCCAGGCCGCCCGCCCGGTGTTCTAAACAGTTACCACACAGCCCGGACCGTGGGCATGCTCCAATAAGGGCTAATCGAGTCGAATGATGGTGAATTTTTTGTATTTTAGGGTATTGTATTGTATTTGCTAAGCCACGAGATGGACTAGTGTTTGCCTTAAGTAAAATCATTCGCTTAAAGACGATACCTGCATCCCCTTTTCCATTTGAAAAAAAATATATAAAAACCACCATTTGTTTCAGATTGCTGATGCAACATTCTTGAGTCATGTCTCCACTTCTACTATTCAGTCTCCTGGCGCTCTCCACCGTTCCTGGTGGCGACTCAGCAAACCTCAGCTTACAACGGTCGCCGCTAGATGTCACTCAACTCTCAAGAGCCAAAGTCCGGACAAAACGCTCTTTAGTGGCCTCAAATGTCATTGACGAGCACGGCAATCCTGTTTTTCTTCACTCCAACGGCGCCTCCGGCAAGCGCACCATCGTCAACCCATTTGTGTCGTCACGAAGAAAAGTGGCGTCACGTGACAGGCCGACACGCAGTCAATCGTTTAGAACGCAGACTCAGAAACTACGCAGGAGGCATTTGTCCGGTGTCCAAAGTAAGTGACTTTGCAAGTTGCCAAAAGGAAAAATCTTTAAATCATTAGTATCATTCCCTAAATCGATGTTTATTTCTTCAGTTAACATTTACCAAAAAATTGTTTTATCAACTGTTTATCAGCACATCGCAATAAACTTATGAATGCTCAATACATTATCGGAATTTCATCTGACTTCTATTAGATTGTCAATCTATAAGCTGTGATTTTGCATGTACTTTTCCAATATCAAAACATTCCATTTATCGATAACGCGCGCAACGAAAGATCAAAATCACAAAATGATGCCACCAGCGTAGAGTGACGTTACTACCTTTGAATGACGTCACCACTGTCCGCTCCAGGTCCTCGACAGACCCTACACGGCAGTCGCGGTTTCGCGACGGTACGTGGTAACCGATACGACATTCGCCCCGACCAGGGAGTCGTGCCGCATAACCGCTGGCAGGTGCGCGCCAATCACAATCACCGATACAACGCGGCAGCCAATCAGCGTCGCCGGTACAGCGCGCCGGCCAATCAGCGCGGCCGGTACAGCGCGCCGACCAATCATGTGAATCGGCAGACGACACAGAGCCAGCAGCCTTGGCGCGTCGTGACCAATCAGGAAACTTCAGGTAAATAATGCCTCCATTTTTACTTAGGAAAACTTATTATGATGGATGTGAGGCATAAGCGAATCCAGTAAGGCAGCTCGGACGCTGGTCATTGAGGGGGGCATACCCGCAAAAAGTTACCGCAGATTCAAAAAAAGTCTGATTTACATTTCTAAGGCACTGCTGAGCAGTGTGCAGTGTAAAGCAACGTTTTCCTTGTAAAAGTTGCTAAGTTTTCTACCAATGAAATAACCAACCTATTGCTGAAAAGAGGAATATGAACGATGCATCCACGCCTCAACGTCACAATTGAAAAACTTCTCTCTTTCCCTTCACAGGTTCACAGGGCCACCACGGTTCAGGGGGCGTCGGGGGCGCCGCCCACAGTTCCGGGGGCGCCAGCCACAGTTCCGGTGGCGCCACTCACAGTTCCGGGGGCGCCACTCACAGTTCCGGGGGCGCCGGCAGTACGGTAGCGTTTGTCACGAACGCCCCCACAACAGAGGCGCCCATTCCGGACGAACATCGATCGGAGTATGAACATGGTAAAAAGGAGTGTATTGAGCAAAGTATGAGGAGTATATAGGGTAGAGTGAGAGGAGTGCATTGGGTAAAGTGAGGGGAGTGTATTGGGTAAAGTGAGTGGAGTGTATTGAGTAGAGTGAGAAGAAATACGCTGGTAAAACTCAGAGTGTCACCGCAAAATGGCTCCAATCACAATGAATTTGTAAATGCTGAACTGATTGTGTAAAAGGTAAGAGATGGACTAACTGCGGATTTCATTTGCTAACAAATGTGATTTTTCTTACTCATTTGGCAGCATGCTAGTTTTCTTGTCCAAATATCTTGTTGAATTTGCAAATTTAACAGTATTTTACCAAGCTCAGCTTTGTTTATATCAATATAATTGATGCATTTACGCACAAATTGTTTCTGATCCCTTGAACTAACACTGCCCATAAAAGCATTTTGAATGAATTACAATAAAGTGGACGAGTTTTCAGATACCAATATTGACAGAGGTGTTTATTTTCAGGTCTGGAGCCGCATATGCCGCTGAACGCTGGAAAAATGGCGACGTTTCTGATCAAAAAGTCGACCCAGAGAAGGCCGTATGTGGACCGCACCAAGGGGCTCGGCACACTGCACACCAGTGAGTTACCAGTGAACAGAACCAAACCAAAACCGTACAGAACCATATGTACGTAACTAAAAACCAAACATTATCATGCAGAAATAAAACAGCCATACAGAACTAATTACTAAACATGCAGAAGCAAAACAAAAACAAACACATCACACAACCAAACATAACCTGAAAAACACACGAAATTAACCCTCGCACGACCAGGCCATTTCTCATAACACGAACGACCAGGGGGGGGGGGTTGTTACGACCCCCCCCCCCTGGCGTTTCGAAACGGAAGGTCGTAGAGCTTAGCGGAAAAAAAAACCAACGGATTGCTCCCAACGAGATCTCGCGATTGGTGGTATATTTTTTGGTTCTAGGTCAACATTTGACCTACTTATGACCGGTCAAATGTCAAATTTTCCGAAAAAATCAAACTTTTTCAACTTTCCGCGGCGATTGCGGCAAAACGGTGGGAGATATCGACTTGAAACCTTCACTATCGTGTTTCTTGATCAATTCTCTATCGTTTGGTATGTATTTCGTTTCCCTAGCTCTAAAAATGGCGCGTTGGGAGCGCCGGAAGTCGGCAAGGTCACAGTCGGCGGCAGAAATTCGAAAAATCAAAATGTAAATTTTTGAAATCTGATTGTATTTTTGGATTTTGGAGGTCCATTTGCTCCCTATAGAAGCTAATATTGCTGCATATTCCCATTGAGGTGACAAGAATTAGCAAAATAGTGGTTCGGGCGCTTTTCAAAAATAGTACCGGACGCTGTTCCTCTTGTGACGTCATACTTCATAGCTCCGTGACCTGACCTGACCCGGTCAATTTTCTTGCACCACACGATAGCCAATACTTGCCCCAACATGCATGGGAAGTTTCATCATGATCCATCAAACAATGTGGGTATCACCGGCAGAAAACCTAGGGATTCGGCGCACACGTTTGGTAACTGTCGGCCGGAGGCTGTACCTCTTATGACGTCATAACTCCGTGACCTGACATGACCCGATCAATTTTTCGGCAAAAGATGCGCAAAGGTTGCCCCAGAGGGTATTGAAAATTTCAGCCCGCTACGACAAGCCGTTTAGCGTGCACTTCGAAAAAACCTCAGGGGGGGGTTGTATCAACCCCCCCCCCCATAGGCGTTCTAGGGTTAAAAAGAACCAAAAAATGATGGAAGTCAAACAAGCAAAGAACCGACGACAATCAAGAAGAGAAAAAAAGAAACACTCCACTAAAAACAAACATAATAAAACCAGACAAACTGACTCTTTCTATACCATACCCACAAGGCCTCCGATAAAGTAGCTAAAATTGTGTCGATAACAGTCGCATACTTTTAATAATTGGCCAAATTTGCAACCATTTTGTTAGATTTTTTCCCGAATCCATGCATGGTGTTCATTCACTTTCTACATATATGCGTTTGCTCTTTTTCTTTTGTGTCTAGCTGCACAAGGTGAGTGACGATTAGGTAGGTATATAGCATTATTTAAATGCATTTATCCCCCAGCCCTGATCGGTATACGGCATAGTGCTGTGCTGTCAGCGTATCCTATCCTGCATCAAACAGTCCATTATTCTGCTGACATTTTTATCCACAATGTTCGGTGTTCAGGAAAAGTTCAGAACCTTGTCCTGTATCTCGCCCGTCTTCTCCGGTGAGTGTTGTGTGTCTGACCTTCTAACCCCATTCTCTCCCATGTCAGCACGACCAGTCTTCTGTATCTCACCGTCTATCCTCGTCTCCCATGTCAGTGTTTTGCGTCTGACCTTCTGACGTATCTGATCTAACGACGTCTCTCACCGGGCCAGTGTCCTGCATCTGACTGCCTCTAACACCGTCTTCCGCGTTCCATATACCGCATCTGACCTTCTTCCCCCTCCCTCTCTGCCCCCATGTCGTCACGGGCCAGTCTCTTGTATCTGACTCCATTTCTCCCCAGGTCAGTCTCCTGTATCTACCCCCTCTCCCCAGATCAGTGTCCTGTATCTGACCCTCCCTCTCCCCAGGTCAGTATCCTGTATCTGACCCCCCTCCCCAGGTCAGTATCCTGTATCTGACCCTCCCCCTCTCTCTGCCCCCAGGTCGTCGCGGTCAGTGCCCGGTGGTGGACCAGTCGCGGTGCCCCCCTCTGCCCAGCGGGCCCCTCCCCCCGTCCTGCAGTAACGACTACCAGTGTCGAGAGCCCACCACCAACTGCTGCTACGACCCCTGCCTCACAGTCAGCAAGTGCGTTCGGCCCGTCGGAAGGTGAAGAAATTTGGCCCTTATCGCCCTATCGCCAGAAAGACATTGTTTTGTAGAGGAGGGTAATATGTATTGCTGTTGCAAATAATATTCAGTGTTTTATTTGGCAAGGTTTCTCTAGACTCTAGCCATTCGAAAGTGAGGCCTTGCGCGATATTAAAGCCTCATTTAAGACGAAACCGTTAAGTTTTACAAATAAATCGATGAAGTAATTTATCGCTCACGATTAGTGTGATGTTAGAAATCCATTTATCGAGTCGTTAATCTCTAGTGTTAGAGGTGACCGATGTCTCCGTTATTATGCGTACTGAGTGTTACAAATGATGGAAGACGTTATTTTTTTTAAATAATTTTATTCAATGACCGTGCTAGAAAGTGTTTCCGTTATCGTATGAATTTTTAAGTTACTTTGTTAATTTTTCGACTTGTGTGATGTGTTTGGTAGGATGTTGTTATTGGAATGTCATTGTGCAAAGAAATTATTCGCGTTGTTGCTGTGGTAGCCGGTAGGTAATAGGTATTGCTAGTTATTGCATTACCACTCCATGGTGGACTGTGCATCATCGTTTTGTTTTTGCCACAGCTATTGTCACATCACTAAAGAAGAAAGAAATATCACCTTTTTGACACGATCTGATCTGATCAATCATTTCTTATAAAACAATGTTAAGTTTTTTTTTTTTTTGAAGCCAGCGAGTGTATTCAAACAAAGAAAACAGTACAAACATGCACCTCAAATAGGTATACAAATATGCACAGATAACTAAAGCTAAGGCTGAGCTAGACACGATAAGTCAGGACACTGAGTAACACCGCGCATGAGGTATGGAGCCAGGTCTGGGTCCGCCAGAGGGTCGCGGCTCAGATCGACATCTTGTAGCACAAAACTTGCCCTCATTTCCTCATATATCTTTCTATACATTATAAGGCGAGTAGAGATTGAGCTGATGGATTTTGAGGGTGATGATGGTATGTCTTGGTGTCCGGCAAAAGAGTGGGATGCTGATGGTGTGTCGTAGTCGTGGGTTTCAAGTTTCAAGTTACAAGTTTCAAGTTACAAGTTACAAGTTTCAAGTTACAAGTTTCGGTGACACGAAATTTTTTGTCAAGGCTACAGGTCAATCCGAGGTCACGGGCAAAGCCACACTGGCGGGACACATCGGTAACACCTTGAACCAGTTTCCAGGGGGGTCACCGTCTGCGAGGGGTGCAGGCTGCACGTGCTGGGGGCGGAAAACCGTTTTGACGTGAGGTCCTCTGGCTCAAAGAAATTTTGAGCTATCAACCTCAAAATCGATTCAATGGTAGTCAATCGATTCAATGTTAAGTTGTTATACATAGTTATATGTCTCCTGTCAAAAGGTCTGACTGCATGGGTGCAGGTGTTTTAACCCTCGCCGGACCTATTGGTTTTCTACATACGCGCCGGCCGAGGGGGGGGGGGGCGGGTACGACCCCCCCCCCTCGCCGTTTCGCCCCTGGTGGAGCTAGCGCGTCGCGGAAAAAACGAGCGTGTGCGCCGTTACGAGACGCAGAGATTGGTACCCGATTTTAAGGTCCTAGGTCATCCGGTGACCTCTGAGGTCAGGTCAAGTGCCTCAGGGTACGGTTCAGTTTTTGGTGAATAACTTCGCAAAAAACGGCCGCGGGCGCCGATTTTGGCAGCATCGTGTTCGCCTCGCTCAGGCGCGTCGAATGGTATACTTTGTGTCCGGGTCAGGTCAACTTGGGGTGTTGACCTCAGGTCAAGGTCAGGTCAGCACCCCCAGGTCACGAAGTTGGTCGAAAGAGGTCATGTCGCATATCATTCGATTCGGCAGGCCTTCCTGAGTCCATTGGTGCCTTTCCCGACTCGCTAGCTCAATTTGATCAAGAGTTTGAATCCTACGTTTTTTGGATTGGTCGGACCGTTCCTAATTCTCCTGTATTTTTGTGCGGTATTAGTGAGAGTTAATAGTGGTGCTGTATCTCATTAAATAGCAGATTTAATTTTTGATCAGAGGCCGGAAGACTGGAAGTTAAAACCAAAGTATTTACGAATAATATCAAGATAATATTTGTGGTTTTTGGCCTAATTTCGTGATTCTTTGCCTAGCTCATCCTTCTTGAATTTTGTTCTGTCAAAGAACGTGAGTCATTCACGCAATTTCCGCGGAGTTGCAAACGCTATTATGAAGGACTGTACTCTTGTTTTCAAGATGTCAGAGTTGAAAGAAATTATTTCTACAGAAGTTGAACGCCGTGTTGCAACAGAAATGCAGAAGCTTGGAAGTGTCATGGCATCAGATATGAACACCATGATTCGCAACGTAAGTGATGAGATCGAACGGCTGGGGAATCGTGTTAAGAACATGGAGGAACTCCTTCGAAATGGGGCACTGCAAAATGGAAGCCAAGCGCCCGATGATGCTATACAAGTTCACCGTTCCCAAGATGAGGAGCATGTGACTGGCGATTTACTCGACCAAACACAGCAACGCAAAACGAAGAACGACAAAGCGGAAAAACTCCCTGAAGACGGCGGCTGGACCAAAGTGACGAACAAACGGGCTAAGAAGCGCAAGGCTTTCTCCAGCGGAGCGGTGCTGATCGGCGGAGACAACGTCCGGCGGGTCCGTAACGCAGCACAAGAGGAATTCCGCTTCGAAGATAGTGTTATCTTCTCAGCAGCCGAAGAATCCCGCTGTGCTGACATCAGTCAAAAGCTTCCCTTGGCCATCAGAAAAACAAACGCGGAAGCAGTTGATGTCGTCCTTCACTTCGGGGAAAAGGACATACTGAACTCCACTGTAGACAATGTCCTGGTAGGATTTGTCCAGACAATCAGTGTGGCCAAGATGCAGCCGAACACACGTGATGTGGTTGTCTGCTCCGTCGCTGAAAGGCGTGATGCAGGCCAGCAGGCGGCAGATACAGCACGCCTCGTGAACGACCGACTTCAAGCGCTGTGTGACGCCAATGGAGCAAGATTTTTAGACCTCCGGTATCGGCTGAGTGAGTGCATGCACAACGGGATCAACAGGACCGGAGTGCAATACACCTGGGAAGGAGCCAGAAACGTGACACAACTGCTCCTCAGCGAAGTGGACGGTTTTTTAGATTAGTCGCTCGTGATCTTTCGTTAGCTGCACAGAACTTGGCCCCGTCGGAATCGAATGCAAAGCAAACCTGTAGATCGAAGCTTTCAGCTGGCAAGAAGCTCAGACTGGCACATTTAAATGTCCGGTCACTTGTGCCATCATTAGACGACGTCAACATTTTACTAATGGATAATGGCATTGATATAATGTGCGTCACAGAAACATGGCTACAGCCAGATTTTGACTCCCGATTCCTGATCTTCCCCGGATACAAGGTAGCCAGAGCTGACCGTCCGGCTGCTGATGGCCGGAGCGTGCGAGGTGGCGGTATCTGCATTTTGTACAGGTCCAATCTGCGCGCGGAGACGCTGAACGTGCCGTCAGCCGGCTCGCCGCTGGAGAGCCTATGGCTGAGCCTGGGCGGCGGCCATTCGGTGGTGATCGGTGCTGTTTATCGGCCTCCAGCCGCCCCCGCTGCCGCCACCGACGACCTGCACGATCAACTGCTTCACCTGCACAGCTTGGGACGGAAGATTTTTGTTCTTGGCGACATGAACTTTGACTTACTGAGTCCGCAGAAGCCTGGAGTGGAGCATTATAAGCAAATGCTACACGATTTTGGCCTCAAGCAAATAGTAACGCGGCCGACAAGACCTTGCCAGACGGAGAACGGCAGTCCGGGAACTCTGATCGACCACATCTTGGTACCAGCTACAGAGGATGGGACTCCGACTGCCATGGTGATTCCAAACAGCTGTAGCGACCATAATCTAATCATTACTCAGATTTCAACTGACCGTCAGAAGCAACCGCGACCCGCGGTCACCATCCGTTCAACGAGATCTCTGTCAGTTGACGATCTCTGCCTTGAGCTGATGTCGGCCGACTGGAGTGGTGTGTTTTACGCCTCAGACATGAATGAGAAGTGGTCCGAGTGGCTGTCAATTTGGTCTCCTATAATTGACAAGCACATGCCGGTGACCGAAGTAAGACCTCGTCACTCCCCCTGTCCTTGGCTTGTCAACAACGCACAGCTGCGCGACTCAATGCGTGCTCGAGACGAGGCGCGAGCGGCCTATCAACGAGACCCATCGCCACAGAACCAAGCGGCATTTCGAGACAGAAGAAACGCTGTTAAGAAAGATTTCCAGCAAGCACGCTCGTCTTTCTTCGCAAGCTCCCTAACAGACTCACGAGGCTCAGCATGGAAGGGTCTGCAACAGTTTTTCCTCTCATCAAAGAAGAACGCCGATCCCGTGGACACCACCAGCCACGAGATGGCAGACCAGCTGAACAACCACTTCGCCAGCTGCGGCCCTCGGGTGGCCGCTGAGACAGAGACTCAGAGAGAGGGACGCACCCCAGATGAACCCCGCCCACGGTGTGTCGTGAGTGGAGCCTTCCGTGTGCGTCCAGCAACACTAACTGAGCTAAGCACTGCACTGAGACAAATGTCAGACTCAAAGGCATCTGGGGATGATGGAATTACTATCCAGATGATTCGTATGACTTTTTCGGTGATTGGTCTCATACTGCTGCATGTTGTCAATTCTTCACTCGGATCCGGTTTGCTGCCTGCTGTCTGGAAAATCGCAAGAGTTCTACCACTCCACAAGTCAGGATCACGCTCCGATCCAAATAATTACAGACCAATATCAATACTACCCACTGTAGCGAAGCTGACTGAGAGAGTGGTGTGCAATCAACTCATGGACTATTTAATGGCTCACCACATTCTCAGTGACCGCCAGTATGGTTTTCGCCCAGGACACTCAACAGAGTGCGCAATGATGCATACTGTCAGCTTTATTGTTCAAAGCTTAGATTTGAAACAAGTCACTTGCTTGGCGACAGTAGATACGTCCAAAGCCTTTGATAGCGTCCCCCATCACCGTCTCCTAAATAAGCTTGGCTGGTATGGGGTTGACACGCATTGGTTTCAAGATTGGTTAAGCGGTCGCAAACAGAGAGTTCATGAAGGTTCTCTTGCCCATGTAACCCACGGTGTGGTGCAAGGGTCCTTGCTCGGACCTGTACTCTACTTGCTGTACGCAAATGACTTTGCAGAGTACATAAGCGATGCTGAAGTCGTCATGTACGCAGATGACGTCCAGTTTCTGCATGCTCACTCCAGTGCCGACCTAGCTACTCTGCAGGCGCGGGTGGCGAACACCCTCAGTGAAGCGCAGTCCTGGTTCGTCAACAATAGTCTTAAAATTAATCCGAAGAAAACAGAAATCATATTGTTTAAGACACGCCAGCGTCGTCAGATTGAAGAGTTCTCTGTTGACTTAGACAGTGTTATCTTGCGTCCTTCCCCTTCAGCAAGAATTCTAGGGTTGGACATTGACGAACACTTATCATGGAAAGCGCAAGTTTCTCTTGTAGTGAAACGGTGCTATGCAACACTTCATGGGCTATCAAAATTCTGTCGTGGTCTATCAGCTGAAGTTAAAACATTTCTGATAGAGGCGCTTATTTTTCCGCACATTTTATACTGTTTGAGCGTCTGGGGTGGATGTGGTATCACCCAGAAGCGTCGCATTCAGCGTGTGATTAATCATTGTGCCCGTATCATCTTCTGCAGCCGGAAGTCAGAGCATGTCTCACCACTCCTGGCATCGCTTGGTTGGTCCACCATTGACGATTTGATAAGCAAGAGAGACATGTCGTTCATCAGCAGACTGATGAGCCACCAACATGCACCACAGATCCTACAAGAGTCGCTTGTTTACCGGCACGATGTATCTGATAGAGGTACCCGTTCTACTTCAGCTGGACTTCTACAATTGCCCCGCGTGCGTACGGAACTCGCAAAGCGTTTCTTCAACTACCGTGCAACGGCCCACTGGAACGCCAGTCGTAACGGGTAGCCGTGTGTGACTAATGACTATGCATGCATGCATTCATGATGTGTAATGGGCAATGTTAAATGTAGTATTTGTGTTTACAAATCCGTACATGCGCGGTCTGAAAAGCCATCACATGGAGACCGTACGCAAATAAATAAATAAAAAAATAAATAAATAAAAGTTATTGACGAAAAACTAATTTGACCTTGATGACGTCATAAATGACGTCACGCAAGGTCAACATTGCAAAAGTGACGCATCTAACCTTGCAAGGAGTGCATCAAATCACGATTCTGTGTGCTTGAGATAGTTGGAGATCGTTCCCGGCGCCAGAATAGCAGTTTTCATTTTTCCCCATTGACTTATAATGGTGAGGTCACGAAAATGACCTGACCTCATATGACCTTTAGGAAAAATCCGAGATATACAAGTTGTGGGACTCATAATGGATACTAGATCCTGCAAGTTTCATTTCCCTGTGACATCTCCTCTGGCAGTGAGGGCGTTGCGAAGTTGCGACATCTGAAGACCGTGCAGAGGTTCACTTATGACGTCATAGGTCAGTGACCTGACCTGACCCAAAAATGCGGTTGGTGTCAAAAGATCCGGCTTGGATCAAAGGTCAGGTATGCCAAGTTTCAGCTCTCTATCGCCAGCGTGTTCGGAGCTATCGCGAAAAAAACCCTATGGGGGGGGGGCGGCACCCGCCCCCCCCCCCCCTCGGCCGGCGAGGGTTAAAGTAGCTGACTTGGCTATGACTTTTCCTCTACATTTTGTCATGCTCATTAATAACAGTTAGTTTGCAAAATTGGGTGAATTGCGAGCCGTTGAGTGCTCCCATGCCATACTCTGAAGTCTAAGTGTCATGTGCACACGTCACCATGTTTTTTTTTTTCAATTTTACCATCCAGTTTCACATTATAGACCGGTAAAATACGACCTGTTTTACACGACGTATTCACAAATGTGCGTATAGCGAAAGGTTATATTCATGCATTACTCTGAATTCACTATTCAATAGCTATGTATTTTATCCTGCCTTCTTATTTCTTATTAGCACACCCCTATCGTGTATGTATTTTATCATATGCTTATCTTGCTCGTATATTCAGTACTGGTGGAACATTTCCTGCAATGTCCCCTGAACTGAACGGACAACTGCTGCCTGCCGGTGTTGCAACTGGACACAATTATATCATTGTTATGCGAACAAATATACCATACAGTATGTATACCTATTGTCATAGTTAGCGTAAGATCTGCATGATCTGTTATTTATAATATTGTGTATGAATATACATGATATGAGTTTTGAGCACTGAGCAGGCCCAAGGCTACTTCGATTAGCGTGCTAGCTGCTTACGTTTGTGTATGTCTTGTTCTGCTTGTTTCTTTTTGCTGGAAAATTAAGTGCTTTTTATATGCAATGCATTTGTAGGTATGTTCAGTGTCACATACCTGGAAATATAATATATTTTCGCTATGAAACATATTTGGGTTCTTGTTTGCTGGGCATACCATTACCTACCGCATACCTAACCTTAAAACCCCGCGCACCGACGGGGGTCTGCGCCAACTTCGCACCGACGGGGGGGGGGGGCGGATGACCGCCCCCCCCTGAGATCTCGAGAACGAAGCAAGATAGCGACAAGCGGTAAACGACATCGGATACGCACGGACAAGGTCTACAATTTTTACAGAGGTCATTTTCAGGTCAGGTCAAAGATGACGTCACAGGGGTCGAAAAAGTCAAAATGGCGGCGCTAGATATGGCGAGTTTTTCTCGAATAACTTTCGAATTAGTCAAGATAGGAACAAACTAAGGGCATCAACGTGATCCTCTCGTCACTCCGCATCGAATGATATATATGTTGACCTCGAAAGGTCAAGGTCAAAGGTTGACCTCAGGTCACGTGACCTCGAGGTCATCATGTATATCATTCGATGCGTCTTGACGAGCTGAACACAATGAGACCATCCGCACGGCTGTATCTTGTTTCTGTACGGAGTTATTGGCAAAAAACCTTTGGTGACCTTTGATGACGTCACATGACCTTACAGCTGCCCAACAGCAAAACAGACCTCAAGGTAGTGAAGGTTGATCGTATATGAAGTCATGTATGGTATATGGGGCCATTCCGACCCGTTTTAGTGGTAAAAACAAGAATTTGATTTTCCCCCATTGACTTATAATGGGGAGGTCGCGAAATTGACCTGACCTTAGGTCACCGACATCAAAATTCCGAGATATAAAAATTGTAGCTACTAATGACCTAATAACATCCTGCGACTTTCAAAGGCCTCCGACATCTACTGTAGCTCTGGCACGGTGACAAAGTTGCAAAAAAGTGACTTGAGGTTGGGTCATTCAAAGTGACCTGGTGACCTGACCTTGAACGTTAGGAGGTTCAAACTTGCACACCATGTGTAAAATTGATAAGAGAATAGTCGTACCAAATTTCGCGGCGCTGCGCGCCGCGGTTTTCCCGCTATCCGCGAAAAACCTCAGGGGGGGGGCGGATATCCGCCCCCCGTTGGTGCGCGGGTTAAGTCTTAGTGACATTAATGTCGAATAATAAAAATCGAGGCGTATTAATGAGCTCGAATCCTGAAGGAACAAACTATGCTCATTTTCAGAAGCCTTAGCAACCACCACATGAATTTATATGTGACATTTAAACTGCGAACACCTCATCATACCTGCATTAGGCGAGTAGTTTTGGGTGTGCTACCAGACCATCGACTAGCTCAATTGTTTACACATTATATTAGATGTAATACACAATACACATTACACACCCTTCCATGGAATCGTATATTTCTGTATAACACAGGCCCACCCACCCCGGTGCGCTTCACTCCAGTGGATAACGTGACCCCGGTGCACCTGCACTGCAGTGGCTCGCGTGACCTCAGTGCACCTCACTGTAGTGGATCACGTGACCCCGGTTCGCCTCTTTCCAGTGGGTCACGTGACCCTCTGACCCCGCGCGGTTTGGACGGACCGGTTTCTGCTGGGTTGTGGTCAATATGACAGTGCTCACCCCGACTGATCTGATCTAGCACAGAGGCTGGAGATAGTCCTGATACAAAAACAGAGAATGGTCCAATAGCCTGGAGAAAGGTGGCCTACCTGGTGCATTTAAAATGGTCATGGTGCTGCACCAATGCACCGTTCCGTGTTTCCATCCTCAGGATACAGAAATCCTTCTCCTCCTCACTACAACCCCCTCCGGGCTGGACAGGCAACTTTATCTTGATGCGGGCTGCTCGCTTAGAGCGGCACCGCTGCTCCCGAGGGAGCGCACCCCGTAGCCGGGTGCAGTGAGTACCTTGGGGCTGGGTGGCCTGTTCTCTGGACGGGCTCAGCCCCGGCGACTCACTAGGGTGCCTGCCCAGACCAATGTCTCCCCCTATATCCTATCATCCTCCCGGCTCTGAAATGGTCTAATTGGACCGAAAGGCCCCCCCCCCCAAAAAAAAAGAAAACTGCACGAATGGGTCGCATGCGGACACAAATCACAGTCATGCTAACGATGTACTATGTAACTAATGTGCATATAAAAACAAAACAAAATTCACTTCAAGTATTTTACGATATCTCGGAGAACCCAATAAACATGTACTAGTCCCAATTCCAGCTCTAAGCTTTTGTTCGAACGAAAATAGTTTACTTTTCTTCCATATAAAATGTGCGCTTTGATTCAGGTTGCAAGCGGTCCCAAGACCTGATTCTACGAAAAGTCTTCGTTTAAAAAAGCTGGCTGATGCAGCGAAAAAAACAACATAATAAACCTAAAGCATTTTAGGCACATAAGGATTGAATAATTGTACAAATCGTGGCGTCATTTCATTTCGAGTTCATTTACTGAAATAAACACAGACACATACAAGCCACTGTTGTTTATTTATGCGGCAAATAAAGTGGTTACAAGATGTCACGGTACTTCAGTTTCGGTTCCATACAGGTTTTGATACACTTGTCTCGAATAAGCTAAGGTGTTGAAAACGTCTAATTATTTCCAAATCGCAGTACGTATTATTCGACATTGCTGACATGCTTCAGTAGATAACCTATCGTCCTAATGCATACAAGATATAGTCTCCGTCTAAAATATACAAATGCTATCAGTTCTCATTGTTAAGGCCAGCTCAACGCGACAGATAGCGGTATATTCAATTCTACCTCCGTTTTTCGACATTCTATCAGTTTTCCAATAAGGGTGAGAATCGTTTATATTCCGACGGGCCGAACGCACTTGCTGACCGTGAGGCAGGGGTCGTAGCAGCACTTTGTGGTGGGCTCTCGACACTGGTAGTCGTTACTGCAGGACGGGGGCAGGGGCCCGCTGGGCAGAGGGGGGCACCGCGACTGGTCCACCACCGGGCACTGACCGGGACGACCTGGGGGCAGAGAGGGGGTCAGATACAGGATACTGACCTGGGGAGGGGGTCAGATACAGGACACTGACCTGGGGCAGAGAGGGGGGGTCAGATACAAGACACTGACCTGGGGAGAGGGGGGTCAGATACAGGACACTGACCTGGGGGGGGGGCAGAGAGGGGGGTCAGATACAGGACACTGACCTGGGGAGAGGGGGAGGGGGGTTAGATACAGGATACTGACCTATTCCCGAATTTTCCCCAATATTTCCACTCACTAGACAGCAGCGTCTCGGTGTTAGTCGTACACCATATTCCCCATTTCACTAGATTCCCCACTCACTAGATACTAGCGTTACGGTGTTAGTCATTCACCAGCATTCCCCAAGTTTTCCCCAGTATTCCCCACTTACTGGAGAGCAGCGTTCCAGTTCCAGCAGTTCCATCCACATAATGGCCGGGGCCATGCTTTCTCTGGATCAGAAAAGTCTCCATATTTTGTGCGTTAGGAGGAGAATGCGCCTGCAAACCTGCAAAAAAGACACGTGGTAAAATGTCCAATAACGTCGCAAGAGACGGTAGAGTCACGTAATTTAGAGATGCATTGGAATGTGAAAATCGCGAATGTCGTGTCACGTGTGACACAAGCTGGGGCATGTTTTGTTACTGCAAATAACGCCTAGCAAAGAATTAGTATTGCTCTCTTGGTGGAAAGCAATGCGTAATGATCATCGCGTTACAGACAACATGCGAAATCCGGAAGTTAGTAATGTACCTTGTTTACACTGCAGCTTACCTGACCGGCCAGATAGTTTGCAAACTAAGTGCGCTGCAAACTAGCTAGGCGCTCAATTATTTTATCCTGACCAGCCATGTAGTTTCCAAACTAACTAGTTACACTGCAAACTAGCTGGCCGTTCAGTTATTGTCTTGAAGGATGCAAACTACCTAGTTACGCGTATTTTTCTCGAGGGATCTAGGTATAATGCGAAATAGACGATCAGGTGGCGATAATTGATCAATGATTCCAGCGTCGATCACATGGTTACAGTGGCTAGAAAAGCGAAGCTCTGCGCTCCTTCGAATGATAACATTTTCAATTCCTATTAATTTATTTAAGCAAAACAGCTCTTTGACAGGTTTCCGTTCGGAGTAGTCGGGTGTTCCATGGCATTGATGGCCGGGACTGTCGATGCCAGAGGTAAAAAAAAAACTTCCTACTCGCTTACATTGTAGGCGACAGAAGCTGACAAGCACCAGAGACATTTGGTGACAAAGTCATGAAAATGGTGAACGCAGTGCGTCGCATTTGTTGACGGCGTTTTCGCACACTGCTAGCGAACAGACTAACCAGCCAATCCGCGGCGAGAATAACCCTGAGCGAACCAATCGGATGCTGGTGACACGCAGGGGTGTCGTTTTCCGAAAATGATTGGTAGGGCCCAAGGCGCCGGCGGCGGACGACCATATGTGACGAGGGCTTACCAAGCTAGGGTACGGGGACCCGCAGTTGCTACTGTACAGCGACCCTGAGTAAATTGTCCCAGCACACTCACAGGGAACAAAAACAAGCTGTCAGAGGGCACGCACAGAAAACCTCAGCTGCTCTTGTATAGGGACCGGCAGTCGATATCAATGTTATCGGTTGTTACTGGACAGGACAGACGGCTAGAGTTGGGGTTCGTGTACAGTAGCAACTGCGGGTCCCCGTACCCCAAATCTGCCTTTCTTATCGGATTTCGGTCACATATTTTTCCACCTTGGTCACTGACAAAACAAACTAAAATCTAAAAAAAAGTAGAAATTTACGCCCTCACTAGACCCGATGCACCAAACGCGCAGTTATAAAGGCACTATGACAGTGTGACTGTGATAGTGCCACTATCACAGTCAGCGGAACACACGCTAGTCTGAGAGGCCAGGCCCGCGCCGACTAAAAGGGATGGTTGCGCTGAAAGGGCCCAGGGAAGGCTTTGAAGGCCCACGCTGAGTGAAGGGCTCGACAACTAACGAGATCTCGAAACATTACGATAGTTAGAAAGACCTGGCTAAAATAAAAGGATGAGAGTCAGATTATGAGTTTGAGTTTTCGTGATCTGATGCGGAAAGAACCTGGTGCTGAACCCTCGGGGACCACGGTGTAGGACCTACTCCAACCCCTATGCCCTATTCTGGAGCATTGCGGCACCCTCCGAAGTCGGCTAGGGCCCTCAGAGGCTGGTTTTGTTAACGGACCTGGATTTATTATGGGCCGTCGCACGGTGTGTGTCGTGTGACGGTCAGAGGTAGCCATGAGCCGTCTAAAACCATTGGTGTTTCGAGCCTCTTGGTATCAACCAAGAACTTGAGCCCATGACACGACGCCTCATTTCCAGCTACATGTGCTTACCGTAGTTAGATCCTTAGATGTAGATGCGGTTAATTGCTTTTTATTTCGTTTTCCATTTTGCCAAGTGATGGCTGACAAATATTGGTAGGGCTCAGGGAATATTGGTAGGGCCCAAATAAACATTGGTAGGGCTTGGGCCCTACCAGGCCTATACAAAACGACACCCCTGGTGACACGAGGGGACAACGCTGAGCTGACGCCCCAGCCTTCATCCATGCCTTCACTGTGGATTTTGTAGGCCCCAGGAGCCAACGCATCAAAGATTTTGAGCGGGCCTTTTTGGCGCACGTCTATGAGAGGTACACCGTGATCATGAACACGTAGCAAAACAGGAGTTGCGAGTAGCGCTCAGTGCTTGTCCAATTTTCAAACAAGTTTGAATGCCTTCAAGAAAGGGACTGGCGCCGTGATGAAAGCTGAGTTGTATTGTGGTTATGATTTTTTCTGTTTTAAGCAAGGCAGGACATAACACTGGAAGTAAGGAATCTTGGGTTGTCTAATTTTGCTGGTTTAGGTACTTGTAAGTTGGATATAACAACGCTAGCCAGCAAGGCTGTGTGGATTTGTTGCCTGATTTTGAAACACTTGCCAAAGTTGTCAATGAATAGATGTTTTTATTAATATTGACACAACTCTCATTTTGATTTTAATTTGTTGAGCCCTAGAAGAGCAGGAATTTCAATTTTCATTAGCTGGTAAAAGTATACCAGTCCAAGGACTCAGAAAAAATGTAGGTTGGTATGTAGGCTGTAAACTGGAAGGTTGTAGGCTGGTAGGTTTTCTGTTTTGTGTTGGTATGTTGTAGGTAGGTTGTAGGTTAGTAGTTATGTGAGTTTGGTTCAGGCTTAATTGTTTTTCCTTCATTCCGACTTCTACTCTTTTACTCTTGCGTAAAGTGTTTAAGAAGTCTGAATGAAAGAAAAACATTATCATTACCTAACCTAATCTTACTTTCTACCCTACCACCTATTACCTACCAGCCTACAGCCTATCTATACCTTCTCAGTATTATGGAAAAATGTAAAAAAGAATGTCAGCAATTCAATGCATCTGCACAAGATAAGTTACACATGCATTCAGTGTCCCAAAGTTGAGTTTTGGCTGGGGTGTCAGAGGGGGATATTATCCACCAAAAGGGGCAGAGGGTGGAAACTGCTGGTTAGATTAGATACAAAAAGAGTGAGAAAAGATCAATAGCATTTATTTTTATCCATGAGTATCTATGATCATAAACCAACTCCAAGTATCCACACAACTCAGTCCACCACACTTGTCCACCTGTCCAAGTCCACCACACCTGAACTGCGTTTTGAGGTAACAAGGTGTTCTTGGCTGAGAGTGGTTAATTGCTCTTAGAAATTGGTGATGAGAGTAGCAAATGAATCTCAGTATTTCCCACCCAAATCAACAAATTTTGGGACACTGTAATAATACATTATCCAGGTACACTAACATTGGCGACACTAACATTAACATTGGCCTGATGAATCCTAGAATTTTTTCCAATTTTACCACCCTAGTGCAACACTTATCCGGCCTCCGGGGACAGGGGACACAAAGAGGGTTGAAAAATTTTGTTGGTGACACAAAATAAGTTTTTTTGACCTCTGTGTCTATCTGCCGTGCAGTCGCTCGGCCTTGTATCAGTCAAAGTTGTATGTTTCTGAATGACCATCATGCGACGTGTCACATTGAAAATCAAGGTTGTCAACTCATAATAAACCCGATTACAACTCAAGACCTTTTGCGCCGATAATGCAGACATAGTACTTTCATTGGACACCTACTGAGTAAAATATTTCCACGACATGTGTCACAGTTGGGGTGTTCCTGCACTTGTCTGCACTGCAGGCCCCGTTTTCTACATTTCCATAGATGACCGATTGCACTCCAAGCTAGCTATCCGACACCACACGAGAGATGGTTGAAGCCTGAAGGGCAAACCACAAAGGTCAGCACAAAGGTACCCCGAGCGTTTGGACGATGCTATGATCCCTGCCGTATTCCCCCGGGGGAGGGGTTTGTACATAATTTAAATTATGTTATCGTCGAGTGATGCTTTTTGGTGACATTTTTTCTTAGAAAGACAGATCGAATGGGAAAAGTGTTTTACATCGAAACTACAAGATCGTTCGCCTCAGAAGGGCGAGACCGATGGCGCCCAAATTTGGTACAGCGTTTGGCGGTCGGCTGAAACGGGACCCAGCACAGCCGTGCGGTCTCACGTCGCACCGCACATCAATTTCTATTGCGATTTAACAAACGTCTTCGAGGAAACGTAGCTTGAGCTGGTGACGTAGGTTAAAACGCATTTTAACAATAATTTTCTTGATATACTTAACCCGCGCCCGACTGGGGGTCCTGGATTTCCACGCCCTGCTGGGGGGTGTTTGAACACCCCCCCCCCTTGTAACTCGGCTCCTGGGCCACGTAGCGAGACGCAGTAGGCGGCGTTCGAAAGAGCGTAAAAAATAATGACGAAATCACTTTGGTCAATTTTTTGGTCAGGTCAAAGGTCAGGTCACCAGAGGTCATTGAAGGCAAAATTTCGCCGATTTCCAGGTCGAATGTCGAAAATTTCAAAGAAGCCAACGCATAACTCGGGAACCAATAGAGCTACAGCGCCGCGGAAAAGTGCATTCGATAGCCCTATTAACCCGCGTCCCACTGGGGGGGCTATTTATAGCCCCCCTCCCGTTTTTCTGCAATAACTTCCAAACCGCTTGACGTATCGACGCCAAACTTTCAGTACCTTCGGCTGCATCCATTTGACACCTTGTGTCAAAATTTGAACTTCGTAGCTACCATAGGTCGGCCGGAAATGACGTCAGAGTGACGTCATGTTCGGTCGATTTTGACGCAAAACATCGAACCACGGCAATCGCTCCCAAGGGCTCCCCTATTCCTGGCGGGCTCCGCCGGGACAAGAAACTGGCGGGGGGGGGGGGGCCGATTCGGCCCCCCCCCTGAGATCTCGAGAACGAAGCAAGATAGCGACAAGCGGTTAATTGCATCGGATACGCATGGACAAGGTCTACAATTTTTACTAAGGTCATTTTCAGGTCAGGTCAAAGATGACGTCACAGGGGTCGAAAAAGTCAAAATGGCGGCGCTAGATATGGAGAGAGTTTTTCTCGAATA